TTATGCAGGGTGTCCCAAAAATGTCTCGCAATCCGAAAGTGGCGGGTTCCTCAGGTCACTTGAAGTAACTTTTTCCTTTACAAAAATTTCTCCGAGGTACCGTTAACGAGTTATTAACGAAAAACAGTGGCCAATGAGAGGCGAGCTCAGCTGGCGCGAGGCGAGCGGAACTGGGCTTCGTGTGCTGGTTGGCTGGGCCGCCTCGCGTCAGCCGTACTCGATTCTTATTGGTCACTGTTTTTCGTTAATAACTCGTTAACGGCGCCTCGGAGAAAATTTTTGTAAAGGAAGAAGCTGCTTCAAATGATCCGAGGAACCTGTCATTTCCGGATTGCGAGACATTTTTGGGACACCCTGTATACTAACGTGTATTATCTACTGACCAAATCTATTGTCGCGACCGGACCGCGGATCTTCGCGCAAAATAAGAATTCTCTACCTCGATTGCAACAAACAGGAATTAAATCGAGAGTCACATTCATCGTTGACATTTTTATCAATTCGGAAAAACGAACCAGTAATAACATCGCTTTTAAGTGCCGAATATTAACACAAAAAATCTTTAGAAATCTGATGAAAGCATTATAATGCGTTAAAATTATTGGAAGCAGAAATACACGTTTTTATTCAATTCCGATTTCTCGCTGGTCGAGCAACCCTTGGCTCATCCGATTTTTGACAACCGTAGCTTGCAACCGAAAAATCTAAGAAAATTCTATAACACACGGCTCGATGCCCAAGATAGGCGCACATTTTTTTCAAAATTTTCAAAAGCCACCGGAGGGTAGAAATTGGCGGGAAAGCGCGCGATCTAATATAACCGTGTAACTACCCTCACGGGGTTGAAATTTGGTTACAGGGTTGAAATTCTGCACAGATGTGTTTTTCTTGGTCAATATATATTGTATCGAACGGTATTAATAGTCGTTAAAAAACCTCTAAGGACAATTTTGACTATTTTAATCTGATTGACCGTTTCAATAGCGTTTGTTGTGTTTCGGTGTTCCTATCGGCCCGACGACAGTCGATCGAATTAAGGCCGCGCGAAGTTCAATTCACGACTGGCAATCCAGTCTCCCACGGAAACGCGACCGGCCATCTGGCCAGTTTTTTTCCCCTTAGATTTTCCGCGCACTGTATTATTCCGCTGTTAGCGAACCGCGTTCGAACCGTCGAATCTTCGCGGACCGCGATATCACGAGCAAACAAACGGATTTTTCTAGCCGCCGCGACTCGGAGAAACTGGAACGGCCGATAGAAGAGTATTCGCTAGTCACTGCTAACACTGGAACCACCGCATCGATAACAATGACCGGTTTCCGATCGTTTTTTTTTCTTAGAATTCCTGATATTATAAGAATATACCGAAAAAAGTTACGACGGAAATCGGTCAAATTCGACCCGGCGATAACTTCGCGAAAAATCATCGCAGGACAATAATCTCTTTCTTAAATTAAAACTTGAAACCTCTACTTTAAGACACTGTTTCTCGATTTTACGTCCGATCTGCCAACATCATTGTATTCCTTTAAACGCGAGGCCATGTTTGTTACACCGAAAATTGTCACGTTGAATTGTCACGCCAAGTTCGACGAAATGCACGGACTTCGTAAAATTTTTTTCAGTGACGCGGTTTATACTGAAATTAACTTCCAACTTTCCTCTTTAATTTAAAACGAAAGAAACTCGGCTGCGATTTTTTTTCACGAAGTTACAGCATTTTGTAGCAACCTTTGCATATTTTCGGTGTTAAAGTGGTGTAAGTCAATTGTTTGCCAGGCTGGTTTAGTATTATTATTAATCATGTTTTTAATTTGATGTTTTATTCAATTCTTTTTATTAATTCGAGCTAGCAGCTTGAAAGCGGCTTGTTACAGAAAAGGGCTGTAACAATTGCTATTGCATTTCACAGAACTTTTAATTCAGGTTTCAGGGTCAATGGTAATTGATAAATTAATAAATAATTTAGTGTCAATATTAAGTCAGCTTTCAATTATTATAATCGGCTTTTAATATTTTCAGCACGTTGAAAATTGTGTGACGAGATTTTTACGTTATTCCAATATATTTATATATGCATTGTATTATATTATATTATGTATATTATATATTATAATTAATTAATATATATTATAGTATATTATAATTATTAGTGTTACAATTATATATACTATAATATATATTAATTAATAGTATATAAAAATAGTATTATAATTGTTAGTATTATATTATATATTATATATTATATTATACAATTACATACTATTATAATATTAATAATATATATTTATAGTATTATATTATATATATTATAATATTAATATTATATAATTTTTAGTATTATATTATATATAATTGTAATACTAATAATACTATAATATATATAGTGATAAAGTGTATAATGTATATGTCTATGTATAGTATAATATATATATATATATATATATATCAAATTCGTGGTCTAGAAATCGACATGTAAAAAGTAAAAATCGTTCGATCTCGTCGCACGGCGCTCAAATGGCAGACAGTGGCAGCGAAACGATCCGGCGGACGTCAAAATAATTGCATAAGCGAAGCCAAGCAAAGCCGAGCAAACCGCGTCCACGCGAAATCTATTCGTCGATCGGTTCGTCCACGTTGACGTACGAGTAATATTCCGTCGTTAGCATTCGGCGATGCATGAAAGCGTTTGCGGCAACGCGAAATGAGCCGATAAGGCCAACCAGACGAACGCGCCGCGTCTACTATATACATTGATTGACTTCTCTTAAGTAATCGGGACGTGCCTCGCAAACGGTGCGTCCGACGCGGTTCTTCGCGGGCAGCCGCGGATTATACCCGCGAGAAAACCACGTGCCACGCGTGCACAAGCTGCTACAATTGCGAGAACCATCTATCTATCGTTTGATTCCGATGACCTCGCGAGCCTTGTTGTATTTATATCGCTGTTCTAATTCAATGGTGAGACATTTCGAAAAAAAAGGGACGCGATTTGACGATGTTCCATTGTTTTATGGGAAATGCTATTATCTGGATAATGGAAAACCGTTAATCACCGTGTCCATCACTGTTACATTTCTAGGTTCCATGTGTGTATCTGGGGAAATGTATATAAAGATATATGTATATGTATGTATAGAATATATATGTTTACAAAAATCTATCTAAATATCTATATTTACATATGCCTATATCTATGCAGAGTGTCCCATAATTGTGTTAATAATAGTAAAGGGATTATTTGGGGCAACTTTTTCCTTAGCTAAAATGCAATCCGCGACTTTGTTTACGAGTTATTAACGAAAAACGCTTGACCAATTGGAGAGCGATTGTACCCGGCGCTCCGCCCTTGCGACCAATGCCACGTCGCGCCGACCGTCTGATGCTGCGGCAGTGGTCGCAAGGACGGGACGTCAGCCGTGCTCGCCTCTCATT